TCCCTTCCAGCCCTAATGTCTATGAAATCTATGAAAAAAATGTACTAATCATATTTTCTGACTAATTTCCAATTGGACACAATATCTTTTCTTACTTTCTATCCAACAAACAGCTGTTCATTGGCAGATGCCCCACATTTCCATACATTTTTCACTAGAGGTATCTAGAAGTTTAATTATTCCAGCTACAGTTAGGGAGTAGAATGTCATTAGACCCTCCCAAGTGCTTTTAGTATGGCCCATATAGCAAGTGACACATGCTCTTGACCATGAATTTCTTCAGAAAGCAAACTTTCAATTCATTTTAATTATATTAAACTTCAGAAAACTGATGTATGCATACAAAACTGCCATTCTCCCAAGATTGCAAGTTTTTATTATAGTGTGAAAAATACACATTCCTTAATGATTTCAAGAAATGAAGACAAAGTGGTCAGAAATTTAAAAAAATCTAAGTCTAGAATATGTTTCAGGGACTGTAACAATGCTTGAAAAAACAATTTTAATTTCTTTTTAAAGATATCTGTAATGATACTCAATGTAGTCAATAAAACACTAATTATATAATTGTATTTCAAAATATCCAGGATGTCTGAGAAGTTAAGAAATAGATTCCTAAACCAATAGAATATTAGATTATATTAGAATTGACTAGATTAGAATATGTCCTAAGAATGTATGTCTGTATAAGATTTAGGAAAATATATTTGCACTTTTCATCACTGTGCTGCAGGAGTGGGAATTTGATTGTCTATCTACCTTCTCTCAGTAGCCAGGCAGCAGTTTTCAACACACTCCAAAAATAATAGGTGATAGTCATCAAATTGTGGAGCTGGAGACAGGCCCACTTCTGAATCTGCTACCTGGCACGCTGGGCCAGCAAAGAGATAGCCTCGTTCCCTCTGCTTTCCTTCCAGAAACATCCTATAAGCTAGTCATGGAGAAAATATGGCTGCTTTGCAATAACTAGAGATTCTCTTCCTGAAAGTGATTAGATCAGTTTCTTGGAAATTTGGGGCCACTGGAGCTACATATAGCAGACAGACCAAACTCCATGAACGGATCTGATATAAATAAGCAGAAGTCTGAGCACAATGCTCTATGATGTTGTATCAGTATTAAAAATGGGAGCATCTCTTTTCTTTCCTCTGATAGCTTTGCAAAAGACACAAGATGGGCTAAGGTAGAGTAGAATTCAGATACTTTTCAGGATTTGCTTCAAACCATCATGTGAAATTGACAGTCTGCAAAGCATACAAAACCACGGTGGGGCTCCAGCTGTTAGCTTTAGCTTTTATTTTAACCTACACTCTGATCAGCTGTGCTTGACCACTGATGCGCTCAAGGTGAATGGAGAAACCCCCTTCAAAGTAAAAGTTGCAGTAAACAGATTCACAGATCATCCAAATTTGGCAGCCCACTGCAAATTAAGTGTGTTTTGAACCACCTAGATACAGATGACTCAAGTTCTACTGCATTATAGTTTGTGCACCATTTGCTATGGAATTATCTACAATAGATTTTTATGGACGTAATTATCTTATAGCCTGGTGATCTTTAAAATAGCTTACCTACACTCCTGTGGGACATGGAGGTGATAATTTTAAACCTGGAGAATGAAGGCATAAAAAAAAAGTCCCCACATCCACAAAGGGTCATAGATTTGCTAATGTTGGTTGTCACTATGCCTATCTTTTAGGAGATTGGGTCAAGAATGAATATACAACTCTGATGTAGGTGTCTGAATTCCCTATATTTTGTGAAGAAATGTAAAAGATATAATTCAAATATATTTAAGACTTTTGGCCATAGGTTTTGGGGAAGTTCTTTCTTGTAGGGGAGGGGCAGATTCTTTGACTGTGGAACTTCACTGTTGCATACAAATTATAGTGTGGGTGAGGGTGAAGATAAGTGTGCTTGCAATCACATTATATATAGTTTCATAGTGCTTAGGATCAGAAGGGACCTAAACAGATCATCAGGTCTGACCCCCTGCCCCAGGCAGGAACGAGTGTGGGGTCATAACACCCCAGCCAAATATCTGTCCAGCCTCCTCTTGAAGATCACCAAGATAGGAGAGAGCACCACCTCCCTTGGGAGTCCATTCCAGAGCCTGGCAGCCCTAACTGTAAAGTAATGTCTCCTGATGCCCAGCCTGAACCTTCTCTCTAACAATTTGTGGCTGTTAATCCTAGTAACCTCTGGTGGTGCCTGGGGGAACAGAGCCTCACCCACTTCCCGCTGGTCCCCCCTGGTGAGTTTATAAATATAATTTTATAACATGTATGACCTTACCAAAAAGAGACACATTTATTAAGTTGACAGAAAAGAAGGATGGTTCACTAGGTAAGATGCTGGCCTAGGATTTCTCATACTAAAGTTCAAGTTCCTGCTGCACCACAGAGGAAGTTGCTTAGGGACATAAGCAGAAAAGCAATTAGGTGCCAGTAGAATTTAGGTGCCCAAGTTTAAGTGAGCAAAGAACAAAACCTCCAAAACTCCCTTCATAGATGCTTAAGCAGCCAAAAATTTTCATCAGTAGAGTTACTTCATCTACTGTGCATGCCGGGATGTGCTACCACAGCAGCCATTTCACACCTGAACTACATACCAGCACATTTAGTCTATGGGAACTGGTTTTATTTATTTATTTATTTCTATATAAACTATATATATATAAACTAGTCCTCACATCCACAAAAAACCCCAGTGTGTGTGTGTGCGCGCGTGTGTGTGTGTGTGTGTGTATATAGGTTTTTATAATATTTTATATATATTATATGGGGGGGTGTACACACCTTACATTTTATATGTTTTTATAAGTATAAACACAATCACATTTATACATATGCATAAATATGTATGTGTTTATAATTATAAACACATTTATATATATAAACATATAAATATATAAAATGCACATATTTTCAATTAGTTGAACACTATATTCATTCTACATTTTTATTAAAGATATGACCCAGTGTTAATGTCTCATATATTAAAAGGGATCCTTTTTACCATTTGTAAAAACGTGTAATATGTATAAATAAATAAATAAAAGAAATAAATATATACACATACACCCCCCCCCCATACCCCTATATTTTATATGTTGATAAATAGATAAATGGATATAAACATATAAAATGTAGGAGGGTGTGCATATACACACACACACATACGTATATATTTACATGTATATATTTAATTATATGACAGTAAGAAATAGCTTATTATACTGTTTTCTTAGAAAAGAGGAAAAGGACAGAAAAGATATTGATCAATAGTTATATATACATACAAATAGATAACAATTAAAAAAATATTACCTCAATTTCCTGAAAAGAGCTGTTGATCATAGCAATGAGCATGTTCAACAGAACAATGACCATGGTAACATTATAGACTCCATAAAGGACATAACCAATATTCTCTATAAATTTGTGGTTATAATTGATGATAACTGATTTCACTTCTGAAAGTCCAAATATAGCCCAGAACAATGTCTTAAAACTTTCTTCAATTCTGAAAGAAAAACATGAACATGAGCATATGCTATTGTAAGAGTTATAACGTTTTAATTTAACCAATAACTAATTTTATATGCTGTATCAGTTTCTCCTAAACCAAACTGAAGAATTGTGAACTCATTAATTTAGAATGCATAGTACACATTATTTAATAAACACAGTCACTAGAGGCTACTTCATAACAACAGATTTTATATTTTAATACAAGAAATATAAGAAAGGCCAACTAGTGTAGTTAATGGTACCAGTAAATCTTTATAAATTCTGATTACTTGCACTAAACTATGACATACATACACATATATGTAAATAAATAGAAAATTACTAAAAAAGGATGCTTTAAATATTTTAAAGAATAACAAACAAAATATTAAACCTCAGATATGAATTATTTTACCATCAATATGAACATGACCCTAAAAAGAACTGGAATCCATGGAAACTAGAATTGCAGAGCACCACAAATAAGGCACTCAGGAACCTGCAGATTTGGTTTACAGTCCTGATAAAACAGCTAAGGGTTGCTGGCTCCCAGACAGAATGACAGGAATTCAACAGGCCTCTGTGTAAGAGTATCTGTCCAAACATTTTGAGCTAGTTCTCAGTCTAGAGGCCAAGGTTCATATATTATTCCATTTTTACGATATCTAAGTGACACTTATATTCTAATTAACACTTTTAGACTTTTACACCATTCAAAATGATCCTATTCCACCCTATGTATCAACTATAAAACTGCTAACTTGCCCAGATTCTTTAGTCAGCTACCTGAGGGTCATAGGAGTATAGGAAAATATGGCTGCTGAAGACAAGATCATCTCTGACAAAACCATCTCAGCCAAGTGTCTGCCTAATCTGCTCTTGAAATTTCCCAAGGATGGACAGTCCAAAACTTCCATTTTTCCAAGCTTCTCTTTCTCCAAGTCCAATTATAATTCAATTCTATTCTTGGAAGCACATAAACAACATCTAAATTCCAAGCTTTAGAAAGCCACATGGAAATGTCTGTTTGACGTTGATGTTGTGCTCCATATGTTTTGTCCCATAGACTGAGCAAACCAGTTTAGGTGCTTAGGTAACTGGAGCAGGAAGAGGGAAACTTGACCCACCTTATCCAGAAGGGATGGAAAAGTGATTTTACCATGAGGCTATGGACAAGACATAGCTAAAGGCATTTTTTCCAGTACTGTATCTATTTGATGTAAAGAAGAGCATTGGGGGCCGGACCAAAGGCTCTCTCCTCACTGGTCTGCAGAGTCAGACTCTCTTGCTTGAAGTTCTTGCAACATAACTCTTTTATTCCTTTCCACCCAGTGGGCTAGCTTCAAGAGGAAGGATGGGCACATATAGGACATTTTCTAGGATAGGAGACAGGAGATTCAAGCCCGCTTTGGGTGACCACTGTCTAGAACCCAGATCTCTCAATTTCTGAGTGAGCACTTTAGGGAATAAAGCAGGCATCTCATTACTGTAATGAATCTTTAATTTACAGTCTGAAGTTAATGCTTCCTGTTAAGTATATGTCTCCCTTCTAAATAATTTGGATCCTGACATTACAGGCATATAATATTGACCATTGAGGGAACAGGGGAGGTATGATTGTCTCCCTGGGTAGAACAGTATCTCTCACTGAGATCATATGAGGCTCTGTACATTGCCAGAATGGGAGAGTTGTACATCTCCCTTGGTGGAATAGGATCATTCTCCTGAGTCAAGATGCACATTTTTTGAACTAGTGGTAGCAATGACTTCAACATCTTAAAGGCGGACTAGGATCTTGGTTTAAGTTTGTATCTTTAGTCAAAACATTGCTATTTCTACAAAATCTATTATACATAGATCCAGCTGTGTGATATATTTCTACTAACTTCTACCTGCTTGAAGGCATATTTTCTGTTGCTTTGATGAATTCCAGTTCCCAGTGGCCCAGATGTAGCAATATTCAAAGATGCAAATTTTGCTTTCGATACATGAATAGCAAAGAAGTATGCTGCTAAGAGAACCTTTTGATTTACAGATGTGAATTCACAAATGTAAATATATTTTCATCATATTCACTCTAAGAACTATCTTTTTATTGTGGTTTATTAGGTGACATGGCCTCCAGACCACAAAGCTACCTTTCACTCCAAGAGCAAAATATTTTGTAAAAAGAGTCAAGTCTTAGACTATGCATTATAATTTAATAACTCCCTATAAGCAACTGTCCTTCCATATGAAAACCGGTATTTTTTAGGATTTAAAAAGGAGTAATACTTACGTTGTGAATGCTTCATTTTGTTTTGCCCCTCGATAGTAGGAATAGAGATTAAACATTCCTATCATGAAGGCCACAAACACCATGATAAATATCACCATGAACTTGAAGATGTCTTTCACGGTTCTGCCAAGTGATATCTGCAGTGGTCCAAAGCTTTCATTGGCTGGTAGAATGTAGGCTATTCTGGAGAAACTTAAAACTACAGCAATTGCGTACAGGCCTTCAGATATGATTTGAGGATCAGATGGATCCCAATTTATTCTGGCTAGAAATAGAAGATGAGAGTTTCTGGTAACTGTTTTGAAGTATACTTTAGTTTATATAGAAAGAGTTGTCCTTTTTTGTTAAACAAGAAAGAGTTGGACAAATCTTCAGCCAGTATAAATTGGCATTGAAGTCTATGGATCTATGACAATTTAAACCAGTGACAATGTAAACCAGTTGAGAATCTGTCTCTCTTTCTAATTTTTCTTTTATTATACTTTGCATGACATCTTGTGTTAAGCTATTTAAATAAATATAGGTCAATTTTCATATTTGGTTCCTAAATTAGAATACCAAATTCAGCAGACATGCACCTCAAGTGCATCTAAGATACCTATTGCCTTCTATAGGAAATTATTCATCCTGATCATTTTCAATAAATATTGAGAATTTTCAGTACTCAGTTCCTTTGTAACATGGTTCCAAACAAGTCAACTGGAGTTCTCAGACTACTGTGATTTTTAACAGTTCTCAGAAAGCGTCTTACACACTTGTTGCAATCAAATCAGGCTACAGAAAGAAAGAGAGCTCTCTCAGATCTAACATAGAAATGGGATAGTTACCTAAACTTATAAACTAGGGCTGGGCACATTATTTTCTATGAATAGCATTCAGCTAAATATTTTTAAGTTTTTATTTTGATATTTATCAAAAGAAACCCTGAGTTTTTGGACTAGATTCAGGCTGAGGATCTAAAGTGCCCCAGTGGTGTTCCCCTTTTTACCCAATAGTCTGTAGATTACAGCCCCATCCTAGTATGTGGGAGACCAGATTTAAATCTCCTCTCTACCTGATTCAGACCAAGTTTTCAAACAGGTCTTTCAGGAGAAGTCCCTAACCACTAAGCTCTAGGCTACTCTGTGTGGGTCTATCTTTCTCATTCCCTCTCCAGATGAGGCTGCTGCACTTTTGTAAAAAAAATACTATAATATTCACCTGCCAGAATGAGGCAGTTTGAATGATGCTACAGCTTGGCAGCAAAAGCATAGACTGAGGAGGATGGACTCCAGTCAATACTCAAAGTACTTTGTATAATAGGGCTGTGCAAAATTGCAATGGATGTTTTGCTTCAAAAATGTTTTGATGCATTTGGAGCTCGAAACACCGAAACGGAAACAAAATGCAAGGCTTCAAAACAAAACAAGGGCACTTGAAACGTTTCAAAAATTTCAAAGAGTTTTGAATTTAGAAGCCAGGCTTGCAGGGAAATACAAACTAAGGAGAGGGAGGGGGAAGAGCAGGGAAGGATTGCTCTAATACTGACTTTGTAGCTGGCCAGTGACTGTGATCCTTCCCTGAGGTCCCTTCCAATCCCAGTGCTCTGGGGGAGGGACAGAGAAGGAGCATAAAAGCATTGTTTGAAATGAGCTTTGTCAGCTGTGCCATTGTCAGCTTGCTGAGCTGTGTCCTCCAGCAGCATCAAGAAGGCTCTCACTTTTTACTTGCTAGTCTGTTCCTAGCAAGTGGGATTCAATCCATTCCAAAATACCCTTTCAATTCCTCCCCCAAAATCCTCCTTTTATTTTTGTTATTCTCTGTAATTCTTTCTCCACATAAAATAAATCTGTGTTTTCCCTGACCCTCATCATTGATTGTGCAGGAAAGCACAACACATATTACAGAACATATATTTTATATTACGTAAATACATACTTTTCATTACAGAACTACACACAGATTTTCCAGCACACCAGATATACAGCGTGCTGGAAAAGCAGGTGGCTGCTCCTCTGGCTGGGGTGGAAGAGGGGGCAGGGGGAGATCTCTAAGTCCCATACCCTCTCCAAAAAAAAATTAGACGCAGCCTCTTTCCAACAACTAGCTGCCATGCTGCTTCTGCTGCTAGTGACACCAAAGAGATGGGAGCAGTAGCTGCATCCCCTCCAATAACACCTGCCATAATAACCTTGAGCACCATCATCATGACAATAAGCAGCAGCAGCATGACAGTCTCCTCCACCCCAATTTCAATTCCCAGCCTGAGCACTTCAGTGCCAGAAGACCTAGGGCTGGAGCTGGAGGTGAGTACCCTAGCATGGGAATTCTCGGGAAGGGGGGGGAAACATCTGAGTTTGTACTCACACCCCTCAAGTTTCCCCTAGTGCCAGGTCTTCTTCCCTGGATAGCACTTTGGAGGAGGTTGAGGTAAAGGTTGTGGAGGCAAGTGGCTCAGCTGAGTGTGCTCCTCCTGTTGCTGTGCCTCTGCCTGCTGAGGAGGGGGAAAAGGCAGCATCTGCACATGCACCCGCACCCCAGAAGCAAGGGGGTAGTGTGGTCTGGGATCGTTTTGAGCTGGCAGATGATCCCACATATGGTATCTGCCTGCACTGCTGGGCCAGAACCAGCTGAGGCAAGGCAGTGAAACAAATGAGTACCACAGGGATGCTGACGCATCTCCGCAGGCACCACCCCCTTGCCCTTGCTCCTCCTCAGCCTGGTACCAGTGGGAGCATGGCCAAAAAGAAGTCCCCCTCACTCAAAAGCCCCCATCCCCCCAAAGCAGAGGCAGGCCACCGTGGAACAGTGTCGGAAAGGCAGGCACAGAGGGGGTGTGTTCCCAAAGCAAGGAAGGTCACTCAGAGCACTGGGGAGATGCTTGCTGTGGAAGGCCAGCTCTTCTCCTTTGTTGAGCAGACAGGGTTCAAGTGATTCATGGCACTCATGGCCCCATCATACAAAGTGCCTGCATGCACCACCTTCAACGGGACGGTGGCGCCCTCCCTGTATGAAGCATGCAGGGAGTACTTGGGGGAGAAGTGGCACAAGGCAGGTCTGCAGGTGGGCTTACTCTTCATCTCAGACATCTGGAGCAGTTTGGGTGGAGATCACGCATACTTCTGCCTCACAGGGCACTGGTGTGACCAGTCAGGCTGTCGGTGGGCTCTCCTTCAAGCTGAGGTGATGGATGAGTCCCACATGGCAACAGAGATCATGGAGGCCATGAACCGCATGGTGCAGGGATGGCTTGTTGGGCAAGGCGAGCTCACCTGTGAGTTCATGGTCACTGACAATGGAGCCAATATGGTCAAGGCCATCTGTGATGCCAACTTTATTGGCATCTGCTGTGTGGCACACAAGCTGCACTTCATAGTGAGGGATGCCTTGGAGGGGGACAGGGCTGCTGGTACCATCACAACCAGCCACCTGATTTTGAAATGCAGGAAGATGGTGGGTCACTTCCACCGCAGCATCAAGGGTAGCAAGATGCTGCAGGAAAAACAGGCAGAGCTGAGCATCCCACAGCACAAAATCATGTAGGATGTGGAGACTCGGTGGAACTCCACATACCTGATGCTCAAAAGGCTGATCGAGCAGCAGAAGGCCATCCATGAAATGGCCTTGCATGGAGAGATTGGGAACAAAGCTCAGTGGGTTACCATCTCCCAGATCTTGGTGGTCCTCCAGCCCTTCCTCAGCTGGGGCAAACCACTGTCACCAGAGGTGCAGGCACTGGTGAAGCAGCTGAAGGACGGCATCAAGAAATGGATAGCTACATTGTGGTTCAGTACAGTCCATGTACTGGCGGCTATGTGCGACCCAAGGGTGAAGGGGAGCATATGCGGCAGCAAAACCCTGGATCACTGGATGGAGGTCTTGGTGAACAGAGTCCAGGGGGAAGAAGGGCACAGGTAGGGAGATGTGGAAGAGCGGTATCCACAATCTCGT